TATGGATTATTTTCTGTTCACCTCACTGCATTAAACACCTTTTATGAATATTTCCAATGAAATATTTAATGAAAACACTGTATGTTTAACAGGGTGTTGCTCGATTTAAAGATTCAAAACAATCACAGAGCAGTAGTTTAAAAACAAAGGGTTCACTACTCCTCAGTAGTCGGCCTTATTTAAATCCATAAATTAAAGAAAAGATAAACCCTTAATTTAGTAATGCCCCTTTTTTGCCCTGCCTGGGATATTTCTACAACTCTTTTATGAGCAAAACTTAGTTTGTAACTGTTTGCATGACACCCCTGCTGTGTGTTTTTTTGTTGTCTTCTTCTCAGAAACAGCGTCGCTTTCCTGTTTTGACAGCAAGTCTCTTTTGTTCTGTTTGTTTTTGTGTTAAACCCTGTGACAGGTCATCCTATCCGGGTTGCTCTAACTGAAATAGGACCTGATGTGGTAAAGACATTGATATTACCTCCAGGTGAGCCAAAGCACTGGCGCAACCTTGAATAGCTGCTTTTCACCTTTTGCTTTTCCCATATAGCCATACTTAGCTTTTAGTAATTGAAGATAATGGCCTAAGTGAGTAGTTTGTATTAAAAATCGAGATTTGCTCTCAAAAAGAATTGATCTTTTAAAGAGACGAGACAACGCAAACGGTTTCACATGCAGTCAGAGGACGTTGCACACTTAAAACACAGCACTGCCAGCTCGGTTATAACCCACGGCAAACATAGTCAGATCCCAAACAATGTCAGAACAAATTAAATGGCAACACGCTTCTTTGGGAGACCCAGACTTTGTTGTTGTGTGAGACAAAAAAGCAGAGAAGAGAGGCAGAAAATGCAGATATGTGAAAGGATGGGGTAAAGATTTTTTACTCTTTTTTTACATTCTGTCCTGCTGGTATGTGTTTTTGTTAGATTTTCTGACTTTCTGTATTTGGAGGTTTGAATGTGTCATTTACCAATAAACCTGAGAGAATATTCTGCAGGGATTCATGCTTGGGAACTCTAATAAACTGGGTCATATGAAAGCTTGAAGCAGATCTTTTGGCAGTTTCCTTGCTAGAGCTGCCACGAGTGTTGTTGTCAAAACTAATTAAGCAGGAAATTTTGGGGGAAACCTTAATTCTTGTGTAATCCTGTACTTATTTTCATCATCAGTTTATGACACTCAGTGCTTATAAGGGTTACGCTGGTGATGAAGTGCTATAATTTACCCTGCTCTTGAACCCATTTCCCTCCCTTCTCCTTTAAGTGACTTAGTTTTTGCAAATCCCAGGATGTTTTCTGACACCTGCACCAACTATGACCTTGTTCAGTTTTCCGATAGATTAGCTGCAGCAGTTGCAATAGACTGGAGGCTGGCAGCAAGTCAAGGATGAGCCCGTCTCTTGCCCTATGATGGGATAGCTTCCAGCCCACCGTGTTATTTGAATTGGACAAGTGGTTAAGAAAATGGATGGATGGTTACAGTAAGCTATACACCAAGAGTCTGGTGCTGGTCAGTTTGAGCTGCCTGATGAATGTACTGATTCTGTCAAGAATTCCAAGATCACAGTCACAAATCAATCTCTCTTGTCCAGCTTAAACTGGGGAGTAAGGTCACAGCTACTGGTCTGTTTGAGGTGTGACGTTAGTGAAATGCTTCATCCTGTGAATTGACAGGTACTAGAAGCAAGTTCCATTTTAATTACAAAACTGCAGGAACTGTCTAATGGCATAGCCCTGCGACAGATTGGCGACCTGTGTTAGGTGTGGCTGTGTGCAGGCAGGAATAGGACCCAAGGTGCAGACTCCGGAGACAGACGTGAACTCAAAAAAGGCTTTAATTTAATACTCAAAATATAACAAAACTAAAAAAAACTCAAAACAAACTTAAACTAGAGAAATGCCAGAACACACAGCTAAGAAAACGGTAGATCACAACACAGACACAGAGAAACACTGGGCTTAAATACACAGAGGGAGCAATCAGGGAATGGGTAACAGGAGGGAAACACAGCTGGGGCAAATCAGGCCTAACGAGACAAGAGGAAGCAAAACCAGACACATTAACATCAGACATGGACTTTCAAAGTAAAACAGGAAACACATAACACAGACTGAACAAAGACACAGACTCATATGCAGGCACTACAAAGGGAACAGAGACGTGGGAACAGGGCAGACACAAACACTGACTGAACACGGGGATATAGGAACTTAGGATACACATAGACGCGAACTAGACAAGGGGATGCAGGTGATAGGGGAGACATAAGCCATAAGACGGAACTCAAAGAAACCAAAAACTAGACAGTATAAATAATATCATAAACTCAAAAACCCTGGGTCGACGACCCAGGCATCCTAACAACCTGTCCAGGGTGTACCCTGCCTCTTGCCCTAAGACAGCTGGGATAGGCTACTGTTTTAAGCTACTGTGGCTAGTTTTTGATCTTTGGCACATTCTGTGTCCTTATGGATTGTTGTGCCTGGGCTACCTTAGATACTGTTAGACTAGGACATTAGTTTTTGAAAGCTCCTGCTCTATTCTGACCAAACAAAAGATGGATGTAGACTCTGGTTGTGAAAAATGTTTACGTATCTTCAATCTTCATTCTTGCTGCTGAGAAAAAAAACAGTGTTGCTCACTGTGAAATAAGTAAACACATTCCTAATAAATCTGTGTTCTTAGTTAATTGCTTAATTTACTTACTTAATTTCATAAATTGTGGTCAAAATTTCGGTAAAATTACTTACTAAAAGTATACTTAATTTGTGTGACTGCTTTGATACTGATGAGTCAGTAGTGTCTGCCTGATGAATATGCAGTGGATCAACCCCTCATACATCAGGTTTCAAACCCAAGGTGCTGACAGCCAAAATGTCGAACTCAAGGATACAATATGGGAATCTACCAACTATTTGATGGCATCGCAGTATCTTTCATGGACTCTGTGCAATCATTTGCAGTACCAAAATAAATGTAAAAAATGAGGATTTTATATGTTACAAACATACAAGTGTGTACAAGTAAACAAACATGCTATAACTGCTAATAAACATGCTTAACGGTGTGTTCACACCGAACGCGATAGACGCAAACAGAGCGTCAGGTTTACATGTAAAGTCAATGGAAAAGCGCGATGACCCGCGATTGCGGCTCCCGCGAAAATTCGGAAGCAGATTTGCGTCGCGAAAATGCCTGAAACGCGCGTCAGTCTAGCGCGTTTGAATCGCGAAGATACCGGTCTGGCACAACTTCCTCCCACATTTCCGGTTCACCCGCGTCAAAATATGCAATTTTGAGGCGCGATGGATTTTTCTTGGACACACGTTGAGGTGCGAATGTGCACGCATCAAATTAGGGGCATTTGGGGCGTTTTCGTTCGCGTCTATTGCGTTCGGTGTGAACACACCGTTACAGGTGTCTATTTCCGAATGAGGGTCATAGTTATGGGTATTTTTGTGCTGTTTTTTCTATTGGACGTGATGGTTATCAAAACCAAACATGATGAATTTGGCAAGCGCAGGAGACACGACACGAAGGAGATTTGTCAATCAGGCTGCAGAATGCAATGCTGTACGGTGCAAGAAAAGAAAAAGAAAATCAGCGAAAAAGCGAAGCAGTGACGGATGAGCGGGACCACTGTGTGCTGTTTATTGATAAACAAAATATATTCCTATATGACAACATACATAAAAGCAGAACGGTATTTGTACGTCAGTGGGAAAATAGCGGTGGCTTGCTAGCTTTTGTGCGGCTTCCCCGGGTCAGCGAAAACTTTCAAAAGAGAAATGAATGAACTTACCAGGTTGCCCGATCTCTTTACATATCTTCCTCCAAGCTCGGTCCTTTATATTCCTGTCTCGGTACAGAAAGCAGCTGGTGTCGTACAGCTACGTTTGCTACGGCGTTGATTAGCCTTCCTTCCATTGAAGAATGAAGGGCTTTGGCTGGATCTGCCCGTTTGACTTAAGTCACAGCCACGTCAACAGGCTCCTGATTGGTTGTCGCAGCGCGGTTTGACGCTGGAGTTCAGATTTTTCCAACTCGAGCGGTAGACGCGTAACGCGCGTATGCACAAAATGCAACACAAAAACTCACGCGCGTGGTTTTTTTTGTGAGTCAAACGTTCCAAACGCACTAGACTGACGTGCGTTTCAGGCGTTTTGGCGTTTTGGCGACGCAAATCTGCTTCCGAATTTTCGCGGGAGCCGCAATCGTGGGTCATTGCGCTTTCCCATTGACTTTACATGTAAACCTGACGCTCTGTTCGCGTCTATCGCGTTCGGTGTGAACACACCGTAAGGGTCAGTGGTAGATATTGGATTTTCTAACTTTTGTGCAAAGGCAGACTTTTTCCTGTCTTCATGCAAAGTTAAGCTAAATTGCTGCTGAGTTTTTTATACTGTAGTATATACTCCATATGTCAAAGTTAAAAAAAGAAAACTACATGCTCTTTCAGTTTTATGTATAAGGACAGAAAAGAAATCATCTAAATTAGGTAAATACAAAACATATTACACTGTGTCATCAAGATGTAGAATCAGTGTGTAAAGAACCAAGAATATCCTCACTACTTCCATAGGAATTTAGAGGCTAAATAGCAGCCAGATGCTGCTAGTGAAGTGGACTTGATTAATTGATCATCAGCAAGTGTGAGCACGTCTATAAAAGCAGAAGTTTTGGCAGTTTGCGGGAGCATTGAGCTTTATGCCAAGGAGGGAAGAAATTAGCAATGATCCTAAGGAGGCAGTCTACTACCCATCAATCTGGGAAAGGTTAAATGGGCATTTTCAAGTATTAGAAAGTCCATAATTCATTAGAGGTTGTACTTTTTTAAGGACCAGATGATTTTTATTACATCCCATTAGGTAAAACTTTAGAATTAACTGTCTGTTTACCATGCCTGCTATATCATTTAGGCAAATAATGTTGCTAAAAGGTGTGAGATAAACAGTTTCCTAAAGCAACATGACTCTTAGAAAGAAACAGCCAGCAGACACAGGTACGATTAACAAATGCTATATTTCTTGAAAGATTTATTCAAACAAGACACATGGGCCAATGCAGTATGAGTGCCTATAGACATTGTAGTTTGGCAGTCAAAACTTTATTATATAGCATTTTGTATGCGTGAAAATTCTGTTCATATCCCTTCATCCCTAAAAAAACAAACATAAAAACAAAAAATCTGGAGAAATTTGTCTTGAGTTACAGAGTGACGTCAGATTGCCCAGTCTGCTTTTATATATCTATAAAAAGCCCTTATGTAAGCTGAGTAGTCAACGAATTTCACAGCAGACAAATGGTATAGGATACATATAAACACAAGTATTACATAGCAATCCAAGGCAGCCTATTGCTGCCTATTACAAATTATTATGAGACGACGCATTACTTTTTTTTTTGTCTTTGTCTTTTTTTTTTTTTTTGCAGATGCAAAAGCTGTACAAGAAACCGCTGAGTCTTCCTTTCACTTTCAGCGAATGTGTTGGCAAAGCACTTGGATACAATGCAATATCATTTAACATTAAATATATGAGTGCATGTATACCGTACAAGCTTCAAACACATGGCATATAATGTAATTCATCTGCTTGACGTTACATTGTATGGCATGTGCTAGGTGATTGCGAGGGGCGGGGGCAAGGGGTGCGGCCATGAAATCTGGAAGCTCTTCAAAATTTTTCCGTTGGTCAATCATTGAAAAACACCGTACAAAAACGGACAGAAAACAAAGAAACAATCGAACCATACAACATAATCTATATATTGCTCGGGATCATGGAGCCCAAGTATGTCTACCAGGTTGCATTCAGATAACCTGCCGTAGAATACTTGATGATTCTTTTATAGAGAGGAAGTTTTACAAACAACAGTCAGTTAGCTCTGACTCGAGCGAGCAATGCCACAGTCTGTCGTAATCAGGAGAGATTGAGTAAATTCACTCTAAGCTGATGATCCAAAGCAGTCCCAGCATTCTCACCGTTTTGGATGTTTAAGCATCAGTTAGGTGTACTCAGTTTCTCCTGATTCAAGGCTTTTGGTCCTGCTTCATATCACAAAGTTGGAGACTTTGTGTTTAGGATATAAGTAGCGTTATACGTCTGTGGCTCTTGTGTCTTGTTTCAGGTGTGTGTGGATGTTGGTACATGTATGTCATTTGCTTGAAGGGAGTCATTAAGGTTCATCCATCGTTGATGTAAAAACACATCCTTCACTGTCCATTCGCTGTCCATTGGGAAATTAACACTGAAAGGTGCCATTGTTTTCCAGTACATCAGCAAGATTGCAGCTGTGATACGGATCTCACAAAATGAACAATTCAAGAAGCAGGCGTTCACAGCGCTCGCTGTCAGCCATCTCCGCGAGACATGACAGCTAACAAAATCCGAGCAAAGCTTTCAAGTTGCCAGTCTCTTTCACTTTGCTGGTAGCCTGTCCTCAGGCTTTGCTTGTCCTGAAGGACTAACTCTGCTCCTTAATTGCAAATCCTGGAGCCTGTGTTGGCATTCTGTTCAACCTCCGAGTTGTTGGGTAGCACAAGCTTCACGCCCTCTGAGGCCAGGCAGTGAGTACAAGGTCCAGTTCCTGATTTTGTTGTTGTGCAAATCAGAGTAAACACCATATTCGACTCCCAGCTACAGTCACAAAGCGTTTTTGATAGCTGGTTGCTTGAATGCACAGAGATAAGACCCAGAATGAATGTTTTTAGACCACCCAGACAAGTCAGAATGAAAAACAACCATCGCGATATCGGCTGTGTTCGTACAGCCACGTTTCTCTTTTCTCATCTCATCGCCTTCATTTTTTTGTCTCAAGCCCTCTGCACAGCTCATTCTTTCACTCAGCTCTGACGTGGCTAATAAGGACACCCGTGCCCTTTTTAGCACCCAGCCTTAAACTCTGAGGAGGCTTCCAAATAGGCAAACAGAAAGAGAGAGATAGGGCGAGGGAGGTTTAGCGCTTATTGCTTCACTGATGCATATTGCTTGTTTACTCGCTGTCATTCCTTATTTATTCTCAACCTCTTATGCATTCCGACTGATTAGGGAGAGAGCCCACAGAACGGTTTGGTAGGGATTTTAGAGGCCAGAAAGCTTTTCATATGAAGTGACCCACTAAAAAATGTGGCACCTCGAGAAAATAAAAGTCAAAGAGATGGTGAAGCCACGCAAGAGAAGCTGCGGCACTGTGGTGCACTGAATACTGTGCAGTGCTGGCGAAAGCATAAGCACAGATGTGTTTGATGCATATTCACAGCATGCATATCCCATTGATGCTTTTGTATTCATGATCCCCATTCTCTACTGATCCCCTATTACAAAAGCATGCCATCCCCTACCACCAGTCCAACAGCTTGCCTAACAGGTTTTTCACATCTTGGAGAGGTAAAGTGGAGAAGCCATTGCAGCATTACAAGCGAGCATTATACTGCTACTTGATTCTTGCTCGTTAAAGTTTTACCCTGCTGCTCATTTTATTCGCTTGTGCACATTCACAGCTCCAATAAAATTGAGATGCAAATTGGGGAATTTGGCTGACTGACATTTCTGCTGGCAAGTAAAACATACAAACAAAATCTTCTTAAAAATTTAAATCTGTCTTACATAAAATCCACTTTACTTCTTTAAGCTTGGCATCAGCAAATCTCCAGATATGAATAATATATTGCAAAGCATTTGGTCATTGATGCCACAGCTTGTGTTTGTGGATGCTAGCTTGTGCATGTGCGTATGAATGTAATCGTTTTTGTGTGAGCGCTTGTGCGGTGTGGTGTAGTGAGGATGAATCTGGAGCCTGCCATGCTTTGACTGGCTCTGTCATTAATTATAGTTTTCTCCTTGTACATGCTCAAACACACTATGAAGACCCAGTGAGGCTATCACGTTTACAACAGCTTGGAGCAGTGGGTACCAAACATCAGGGAGAGTGCTTCGTACCCACTGCTCAACCCTTCCTGGATATGGATGCACAAAGGGAGGTCGGGCAGTAGAAGAAAGTCTGCTAGGACACTACAAGTAAGAGAAAGCAAGTGAGATACAGAGTGAAAGAAGAGAGATAGATGGAGAGACAGAAAGGGAGGGAAAGAGAGAAAAAGTGCCAAATAATGTGCGACTCTGTTAAGCGGTGCTGTTTGATGAGGTTCCACCACCTGCCGGATGCGCTGTAGCATGAGCCAGGCATATGCACTGCGGAATAGCTGGTGTCCCAGTGATAACAAATGAAGGTGAATTCAATCAGTGAGTCAGACTGGCTGTTGGATTGGTCTATATTGAGGAGGAGGAATTGGAAATAAGTGGTGGGATGGTAAGGGATTTTGAAGGATGAAAGCATTATTGCGTTTTTTTATACTTAAGCTATCAAAAAACTGCTATTTGGCAAACTACTCTAGAAATTCTACTTTAAAAAAACAGTATTTCTAGTTACTCCTCTGGAATAGCAATTAGGTAAAGGTACAAAAGGTGCCTTTTATGGTTGGAACTTTTAACATGGGCAAATTTCCATTATTTCCTTGTGTTTAGCTATTGTGCCTGTAAGGGTCATGCCAAATTTATGCTAGCTGACATTGTTGCAAGAATTTGGTGAAAATCTTCAAAAAGGTTTTTCTAAGATTAACTAAAAGTGAAAAAAGAGTTGATGGCTAACTACACTCGTGATAAAGCTGATAACTAACATTTGTTTTGTTTAATGTATTTTTTTAAATGCTATTATTCATGGCTAGCAAGCTAGCTAAGAAGACACAACCTATAAATAAGATAAATTAACAATTAGCTGGTGCAGAACTCCTGTGTTCACCAAACATAGAGAGACAGCAAACCAAATTGAAACAAAAAGGGATTTTTTCTAAGATAAAAAGATATAATTTATTTATTAAAATGTAGAATGAGCATCGACGGGTTGTTACGGGTTGTTACGTTACCACGTATGATTATCAATGGGTATTAATGATTATGGGTATTATTATGATTATCAATGGGTATTATCAATGGGTATTAATTTCTACTTTTGGCCCTTGGTATAAATCTCTCGATTTATACCTGGTTAATTTTTTATGTCAGTATTCAACAGTTTGAAGCGTTATCTCCCAGAAATCCACTGATTTATGCTGCTGTGTATGCACGTGGAAGCAGTTATTAACTTATAGTGTTTGAGCACTTTGTTAAGAGGAAGTGAAGTAAACTGCAGTGTACTATGTACAGTTGGTTTCAGCCTTTCAGATTATGTTAGTTTTGCAGAAATATCTCCATGCATCAAACAGCAGGGAAAAAGGTTTCTGAATGCATCACATCACTCTCTTCCTACATCCAGAATTATGTTAATCATTAGTGTCTAATTATGAAAATGTATCTTTGCAAATGTATGGCACCAAAAATAACAAAGCGAAATTCTGGGGTCAGAGAAAATCCATGTCTGTACTAATGTGCAGGATTAACTGACTTTTCTGTGATGCATTTGTGAAATGGAAAGAATTCACTGACTTTGCAATGACATTTCGGGATGATCCCTTTGCCCCTTTTCTAGGTATTGTAACACATCCTCGGCTTCATGTAGAGGTAAAAATATCCACCACGTCACAAGAGACTGTGACTGAAATTTGCTGTTCAACATGCTGCCACAAATAACTAAAGGGCCAGCTTGTTCATTTGCCCAGTTTTTCGGATGGAGGTGGGGTTTTCTGTGGTCCCTTGACACTGCTGGGAACCTTGTATAATTTTTGACAAGTGTGTAGTATGTACATGTGTATGCATTCCTCATTTATTCTTATCTTTCTCATCTCACTTGCGCCTGGAATGAGATGAATCCCTCCCACACTATCCTGCCCTCCACTCTAGTATGAATTGCGAGGCTGATATCTCATTCTTTGGAGGGCTGGAGGGCAATGAGTGGTGACAACACAATGGCATTGTGTCTACTGATGGGAAGCTAGAGTCTTGGGGGACACACGCCTCTACCCTCCTCTCCTGTCAGTGTTAGAGTCTGGGCCAGTTTGAGGGGTAAAGCGTGTATGAGTTGAATTTGAACATTTGTACATAGTGGAAGGGCACTCGGCACCTGAGCAAAATGTCACCGAGGTACAAGGGGCTTGAGAGGAGACGGAGGAGAGAGCTGTGCCAACTGCCACTCAATTATTTAGAGACGCTGCTGGGTTCAAAGAGTCAAAGCAAATAATCCACTAATCCACCACCTTCACAGCTTATCTGCAACTTATCTGTTTTGCTTTAGTGGTCATAAAAGTACACAAATATCACTCACATTATTGTTATTCTTGGTAACAATGACAAGGAAAATGCAGAGTTAAAAAAATTCCAGATACGATATTTGCTTGCTCCAGCACACCATTATAACTGAGGATATAAAAGATATTAGAACATTTCCCCTCAACTGCTCCATTTTTGTCTTCTGTCTGTTCATCAATCCTGCCCCATGTTCACACAGTGACCTCTGTTTTGCTGTTAGTGGCCAGTCCCTTGTGCTTGGGGTGCATATGCGGCGAATGGCCGTAGCCCAGCGGCTGCGAGAAGAGCTCGGGCAGCGTTTCAATGCTGAACTGCCTCTTGTTGGAGTAGGCCTGGCGCCTGCTGTTCTGTTGGTGCAGTGTCTGGTGCTGCTGCTGTTGGATAGGGTGATGCTGTTGCCCGCCAAGGCCCATGTGGGAGGCTGCCGGGTGCTGAATGTGGCTCTTACTTGGGTCCCATGCTTTGAAGGCTGAGCTGGAGGTGAGTGGGTGAGTGTTGGTCTTGGAGATCTTAGGTTTGGGGATCTGGGAGGCGTTGATGGTAATGGCTAAAGGTGCATGGACATCTGGTGGTGGGAGGAAGGGCTTGTCCTTGGGGTGGAAGTTGATAGGCTGGAAGGTGGGAGGAGACTGGCGGTGGGTGTAGTCTACCATTGGGTAGCTCTTGTAGTAGTCTCTTGGAGTTGTGTCTAGATGAAAAGGACAGAACAAGACAAAGAGGTGGTTATATTTTGATATTATATAATTACAATATTACCATATTCAGTTCTATCCGGCCTTTAAGTGATGACATGATCTTGCTTCTGGGCCCAACCAACTCTGCGTTTAATAAGGCTGTTGTGTTTTGAACATGTTTTCATGGTTTGTATCTTGTTCTATTTAATCTCAACAAGCCCCTAAAACAGTCATCACTGTTGGCCTCTTTTGGTTTCTATTACCGCTATTCATTTTAAAGCTCAGTTTTTAAAACCTTATGATGTAACTACAGCCCAGCCCATGCCAGCAGTATATTAATGGCTAACCTCGTATTGTGGATGGATTATCTCAGTTGTTCTCATGACTGAAGTTCGGTCCGTTTACAGCACCCTGCCATGCAATTGCATTTGTCCCTAACCATCGGGAACCCCCAACTTTTATCCAGTGGAAAAAGTTAGCGTTTGTCCTCCAGCTTCACTGTGTTTATGTTATGCTAACATAGCTGTGTTGCTAGCGATCACATAGCACGTCATTACATACCAGCTAGCCAAATTTCAGTAATCCTACAAAACGACACTGCTGTTTAGTTTTCTGTCTTCATTTATGTTGGAAGTGATAGCAGAGCTGTATGTTTTAAAATTTTAAGAAATCTCTCAGTCAGAACATGGTATGTCATGTTTAGGTGGAAACGAGCGAGCTAACTTAAATTTAGTAAATTCTGTTTTCATGGATGCCTGGATATTAAACTTAATTGTTGCTTAGGCTGCTGCCCCCGCGACCCGTAGTTTTCTATCTTCATTTGTGTCAGAAGTTTGATAGCAGAGCTGTATGTTTAATTATTTTTCTGAAATCCCTGAGTCAGAACATGGTATATCATGTTTAGGTGGAAACTAGCGAGCTAATTTCCTGCTAACTTCTATCTCTGTTAAATTTAATAAATTCTGCTTTCAATGATGCTTGGATGTTAAACTTAATTGTTACACCTGGTAGACAAGCCACATTTTATTACAGATGAAAGAATTTAGACAGTTCTTCAACTCTTAGTGATGTCGCAGTGATTGTTTGACTTTGAGACCTGCAGCGGAGTTTGGGCCCAGACATGGCTAATGACGTTAGACTTAAAGACCGGATAGTGTTGTACTATCCTAAACATTTGTATCAGGCTGTCCAATTGATCAGTAACGGCAACAAAAGTAAATCAAAGACTGATACATTCATTACTGATCTATACTGTTTACAAGGCGCTTTATTACAGTCACTTCACTATGTGCAAAAGTAGACATGGACATATGGAAATGATCAAATTAACCCTGATTGTCATCAAGTTTCTCTTTAGACTCACTCACTATGTAACTGTGCCCATGTAACAACATATAATTTTCCAGTAAATATAGTGATTATTCATGTGTGGATATAGATGATTCAAAGGTGGTCCTAACAATGAACAAATGTCAAATATAGACTGTTTTTGGTTTGATATATGAATGTGGACCCCCACCACCAGACCACCACCCACCTCATATATTTTTATACTTTGAGCATTCAAATATTTATTCATTTTTTGCAATTTTTTTAAAGAAGCTATATGGTTTGTAATGTCAGAGAATATCTTTTTATTATCAGTCACCAAATTCCAGATAAATTAACAGGTAGCCAATAAAAAGAAAGAATTTGTGAGCATTTGTATGATTGCTATTTGCTCTTTGCTCTTTGATCTGTGTGCCCGCTGACCATAGATGTAAGGCAGAAGAGACAAATAAAAATACAAGCAACAAACTATGGGGAAAAAGTGGCATGAGCGAGTCCCGAGCAAAAGGAGTGATTTGTAAGGAATAAAAATAGACCCGGTTCAGCATGTCGAGTCAGATTAGTGTGAGCTCTCTGAGTGGAACTCGACTCTGCTGTTTGGTCATCACCACCGCCCCCAACACCACCACCACCGCCACCACTTCCCTCATACATGCTCTGCCCTAAAGACACTTACAACCTTGTTTGCTTGGCCCTATTTTATCGGTCCCTTTTCCTGGAGAGAAAAAAATATTTGAAAAATATTTTGCTGTATGATTTTTATTATTTTTTCTTGCCCCTTCACCTTTTCTGACTTCATTGCTCTAAATCAGCTTCTCTTAAATGTACATTTCATTTCCTCGTGACGTAACATCATGCTTTCAGCCCCTGTTGTATCAAGTTAGTCTTGTGCATCTGTTTTTCTCGTTATACTGTTGAATTTGACAGTGGATGGCTGTGTGTGGGCGTTTGTGGCTGCAGACCCCAAATTTATTGATTTATTTACTGTATGAAAAGTTTAGCCAAGGGCCACTTTTCTGCTCCATAGCTAAATCTGTCAATTTCAATAATATATTCTAGCCAAGATGACTAAAACCATTTCCTTATGTTTGCCTTTCCAGAAAAACACCTAGAGGGCGAGTCTCACATTCACACATGTCAGGAAGCTGTCCAGCACTATCACAGTGCTGTAATTGCTTATTGAACCCTTTTGTGCGTCCATTGTGTAACTCTAGGGTACTTCAACAGCAGCTGTTGGCGACGAAGACAGAGTTACAGGAAATTATCTACTCCCTCAGAAAAATTCTCCATGCTGGCTCAAGGATTTAAGCAGGTTCTAGCATTTCTCAGTGCACCATCAAGTATTCCAACAGCACTACAGCCATTTTCAGTCTGTTAATTCTGTAGAGGAACAGAAAATACTTCAGGAACAAGAAATGAGTAAAGTACAGGCACTGGGGGCTATTTATAACAAATGATTAGCAGAAGAGTTCTGCTTTTATTTAACTTTGGCACGATACAAATGAGGATTAATCTGCATTTCTGTGTCTCTGTCTGCAAATATGCACAAGTGTGAACTGTATGTGTGGATTCACACACTTAGCTCAATAATTTGTTGGACCTGTTTGGTTTGTCTGTATTCAATTTCATATTTAATTAAAGCTGCAAGCAGCCACGAGAGGGCCCTTTTTCTCTGGTGCGGTCCAGTCTCGCTGAACATCTCCTATACCATAGGTGTCAAACTCTGGTCCGCGGGCCAAAATTGGCCCGCAGCCTAATTACATTTGGCCCGCGAAGCCATACCAAATTACTATTAGAGCTGGCCTACTACCTATTACCTATTATACAGCTAGTATATATATTGTTTAGTATTAAGCTTTGCTTGTTCCATATTCAGTTTTCCAGCAAAACTTATTTGAGTCCATAAGAAAAGATTCATTCTTATATCTGGAGGAAGATTTTTTTTTCAATAAATATTAATGTTAGCCCGCGACTTTGTTCCAGTTTTGAATTTTGGCCCACTGCGTATTAGAGCTTGACACCCCTGTCCTATACCCACTACAGGGAGTGCAGAATTATTAGGCAAATGAGTATTTTGTCCACATCATCCTCTTCATGCATGTTGTCTTACTCCAAGCTGTATAGGCTCGAAAGCCTACTACCAATTAAGCATATTAGGTGATGTGCATCTTTGTAATGAGAAGGGGTGTGGTCTAATGACATCAACACCCTATATCAGGTGTGCATAATTATTAATGTCCTTTCCTTTGGCAAAATGGGTCAAAAGAAGGACTTGACAGGCTCAGAAAAGTCAAAAATGGGGACTTCCGATGACGTCACCGTAGTGATCGGTCGAGCTCTGAACTGCTCCTGCAAGAAACTTTGCTAAATCCTTAAAATTAAGGAAAAACGCTCCGAAACACGAAAACGAAATACATTATAGACCCACGATGCCTGGACCCGGTAAAACTACCAAGGAGAAGACTAAGTCAACCACGCAAACCAAGATATCGGTGTTTGGCGGTGAAGCTAGCGCGTCTGAGACCTGCGCAGTTAACAAGCCAGCCACCATGAGCGAACACGGCCCCGCGGATAGTGGCAACATGGAGGAGAGGTTGCAGCGTGCCATACGAGAGGAGTTTGCAGGTATTGAAAACAAGCTTGCAAACGCGCAAACTGCACTTTGGGACAAGCTGGAGGGCGCTGTGGCCAAGTTTTCCAGCAAGGCAGATGAGGTTGTGGCAGTCATGAACGAAATGCAGAAAAAATTATCTGACTGTGTGGGGAGAGTAGAGCAAACGGAGAAACGCATTTCAAATGTAGAAGATGAACATGTGGTGATGGGGACCACCATTTCAAGATTAGAAAAAGAAAATAAAGCAGAAAAGTCAAAAATAGTGAGATATCTTGCAGAGGGATGCAGCAGTCTCAAAATTGCAAAGCTTCTGAAGCGTGATCATCGAACAATCAAGCGTTTCATTCAAAATAGTCAACAGGGTCGCAAGAAGCATGTGGAAAAACCAAGGCACAAAATAACTGCCCATGAACTGAGAAAAGTCAAGCGTGCAGCTGCCAAGATGCCACTTGCCACCAGTTTGGCCATATTTCAGAGCTGCAACATCACTGGAGTGCCCAAAAGCACAAGGTGTGCAATACTCAGAGACATGGCCAAGGTAAGAAAGGCTGAAAGACGACCACCACTGAACAAGACACACAAGCTGAAACGTCAAGACTGGGCCAAGAAATATCTCAAGACTGGTTTTTCTAAGGTTTTATGGACTGATGAAATGAGAGTGAGTCTTGATGGGCCAGATGGATGGGCCCGTGGCTGGATTGGTAAAGGGCAGAGAGCTCCAGTCCAACTCAGACGCCAGCAAGGTGGAGGTGGAGTACTGGTTTGGGCTGATGTTGTGACCATCCGCCTTGAAACATGACATTTCCTGTTCCCACTAGGTGGCACTGTGGCCATTGTCAAATATTGCAGTTAAAGAGATGTGTGGTCCAGATCGGACCATGTATGTGGTAATAAGAACAAGTAAAAAAATTTACCAAAATGACCAAAATTTAATCTGGTGCCATGGCCACGCCCTTTGACGAAACTTCTGGTGCTTCTATCAGCAGTCATATCTTCAATAAACGCTGGTGACACAGTTCCACTGGCAGCCTTACATACCCATGCCATAACACTACCTCCACCATGCTAGAC